AATACAGTAGTCTTGCCGTTAAATGTTTGTCAAATTTTGAACCTAGCAACAAACTACGCAGATTTCTGGACTATAGCCAACCTTTCACCCCTCCTGAAAAAAAGTCAGAAGTTTTTGACAATTTTTAGTGTCAAGAAAGTTTGAGGTCTGAGGGACAGTGTGCCATCAGAATGAGCAGTAATTTTTTAGGAAAGGGGGGGGGGGAGTACTGGCTTGTAAAGGATCTTTGTTGAAGCGCGAAAACAAGTATGCTTAATAATATTTATTTAAGTCAATAGTCAATCGATTCACCGACGTTGCCTTTAAAGCAAGAGACAAGGTTCTGTCAATTTTGCGCAATTTTGTGACTTAAACGCCCTTTGCACATGTCCAACAGTGGCCTCGCGGTTAGTCAAGTTAAGTCAATTGACGACCGCAGACTGTTTTGATGCATAATTTGAACATCTCCTAGATAGTGGTCCTTTCGCCTGCGTTTCGTCGGCCCATAGCCCACACCAAGCACGCGAAGCCCTTTTAAGCCACATTGAAAATGTGGACTTGACGGATTTTTCTCTCTCTTTTTTCAACTTTTTATTATTCCGTGGAAATGATGATGCTTTTCTCTTAGATCAATCGCCCGTCGGCGCTGCCGTTGTTGTGCAGTTTTCGGGAACTTTCTGGCTCGACTCACCTACACTTATCCTTGCACAATCAGTACTTCTGTTTATTTCCGTGTAGGCTGCAGTGCGTGCTCGGCGATGCACGAAGCAATCGGACCGCTGCACTGGACGAGGTTCTCGTTGTTTACAGAAAATAGAGGCAAGAAGCCAAGGGCACCATTGTCTTCGTATGATGTCTGCTTTTCTTAACGCGTAGAAAAGACTGTTTAAAAACAACTGTGCGAACGGTAAGTTTTCGTGCAGATGTCTGTTTAAATTACCCACTGCATTTTTGTTTTACAGGTCTTTTTAATCGCGGGTCCTTCTGTGGTTCACCGAAAAGCAACTTTGTGCATTTCCTACAGAAAAAAAGGTAAGTTACCGCAGCTGCTCTACGTCGTGGTACGTAAAAATACATTTCGATGCTTATCGATTAATAAAGTGTGTTTGGAGGAGCAGGTCGCAGGGGGGTCACGCCTGCTGCTGAACAAAAGGGCTCATTCGCATCCTGCAAGCGTCCTGCACGGGGCCGTCCTCTGGCCGTCCAAGATCCTTAGGGAGATCCTTATCGGGTGGCCGCTGCATTCTTATTGGCACTGGCGGCACTGCAGGATCATCACGTATGTGTGCGCCGTGGTGAAAAAGAGGTGAGACGAATGCAGTTTCTGCACCCCTAAAAAACAATTTCCTAGTTATGCATGTACCACTTTACGACGAGACGCTCTAGGGAGGTTGCGACCCCAACCGGTGTAGGTCACTTGGACTTGACCGTTGCAGTGTACTTTTCCTCGTTTTTTTTAAATTTTTGCTTTTGAAAATAATTTGAAGCTCTGTATTTTGTACGTGTGCCCCCCCCCCTTCCCCTCCTAATTGCGCTGCCCGCCTCTAGGGGACAGGTCGGGGCAAAATATTGATGCCATTAAAACTGCTGGGACATGCAGTTATCGGCACGTATTCCCACGGCAACGGCCGCCGGGCCGCCGTCTGGACGCTGTGTGCAGCAGTGCAGCAGGTCGGATTGACGTAATGGAATCGCGCGACCCTTTCAGAAATTGGCAGCAGCAAGAGGGTTAGAGAAGAGAGGCTCGTAGTGTGTTTCGCAACCTGCTGTCATTTTCACAGATGGATGCAGTTCGTTCTGGGAAGTCGTGCGGCTGCGGCTGCTGCCGCCGCGTCGCGTCCGCTGTGACGAGAGATCATTGATACCGGGCTGATGCTGTATTATGGTGTGGACCATCTCGTCGTATCGTGATAGACGGGGTGGGTCACCTCACGGCTGCCCAGGACTGCCCCGTCGGCATTGTAAGAGCGGGCCACGTGAGAAGGAAAAGAAAAAAAAACGGCTCCGGGGGGTAGCGGACTTTTTATATGCTTGATATTTTTTATAATCTATACACACCGTCGCAGATAGGGAGGTGAGGGGGGTAGTGGGGTCCGTAGGGGGTGCCCAGGTAAAAAAAAGAAAACGGGGGGGGGGGGGATTAAATTGAAGGGAGGAAGGGGGGATCGGGACAATGCAAGCGCGGCCAAGAGGGGAAACGTGTGCAAAAGGGGTGACCGAAAAGTCTTCACCTTGCTTCCCCCCCCCCCCTCCTTTTTTCGGCTGTGAAGGTGTACGCTCGGACTGGTCGCGTCGGTCTTCTTCACGGTCGCCGTCGTCGGTGATGGTGATGAAGTGCCACAGGCAGACCGGAAGGGGTGAAGAGACCTAGACCAGAGCCTCCCCCCCCCTCTTTTCCTCTCCGCAGCTCTCCAGGTCGGCCCCTTTTGGGAGCGAGAGGCGAGCGCGGGGCGCGCGTTGAGTCCTTGCCGCCGGAAGCTCACTGGATGAGAGTCTGCACACACCTGGGCTGCGCTCGAGAGGGAGCCCCAGCCCTTTACCCCGTCCTCTTGGTCCGACCCACCCGCGCCGCCGGCCGGCCAGGGCCGCCGGAAGGGGATGTGCGTGATTAGAATTCGGCGCGGAGCAGGACGAGCAGGATGATGATGATGACGACGACGATGGTGGTCACTTGGGGCTTTCGGCTCGTCCTCCCCCGGAGCCCTGGTCGGCCTCTGCTGCTCCCCGCGCACGCCGCTGCCGGCATCTCTTAGCCGCACGCCGACGCTTTTCCGCATCGTCGTCGTCGTAAAAATAAGTCACGGTGCTCGCGGACAGCGCGCGGGGCAAGGCGCAAGAGCAGGCGGGCATCTCTCGCAGCAGTCCAACACCGGGAATATTAATGAACACCCCGAGAGAGAGGGGGGGGGTAAAAAGTGGGAAAAGAAGAGACGTAAATGGTTCACTTTTTGTGTGTGAGTGTGTGCGTGGACTGCGCCGTGCATCTGCGCGCGCTGCTCGGTGTGCGAAAACAAAAGTAAAAGAGAGGCACGGGAGAGGGGAGGGGCGCGGAGAGGAGTGAAGAAGAAAAAAGAGTGAATCGCTCCGCATTGTAATGGCATGATTTTCATGACGCAAATTGACGACTCGGCTCGCAAGTGACCCTCGCTCAGACCGAAGTGCACATTGGTGCGCTAGCGGGGAGAGTGGGTTGGGGGAGGGAGGGGGGGGGATGTTCTCGTTCGTTCATTCCCGGCATATCCCATCAACAATTTTTCATACCCTCGACCCCATGCAATCGTAAAAGAAATGCAATGGATGAGGGGCCCAACGTCCAGCTCAGGCTATCCGTTTCGCGTCGCGAGAGTGATGGCCAATAACTATGTGGACCTTGCGTTATTGCAATTTCTGGTTGTTTTTTTTGTTTGTTTTTTTTTTTCATTTTGCCCTCGTTCCGGATAATGTTGCCTCAAAAACTAACCACCGGTATGGTATCCCAGGGGGAAAAAAATAGGAGTGGTCCGGGGGGCCCTTACTTCCGTCCGGTCCTGGGGGTTCTTCGGGGGGCGATAGGCGGAGAGCAAATAAGATTCGTAGATTTTAATCCCGATGACCTACTTCCCGATGCCGGCCCATATGGCGTCTGGGCGCGTATGACCCGCCTGCTTCCCGTTACATCCTGGACCGCGTGAGAAGAAAAAAGCATCTGTGTCCACACGGCACCCCAACGCCGCCGCCGAGGCCGCCGCCCTGCCACCCCAGACGGTCTTTTTACCTGGGGTCAGCCAAACATTAAAAAAACGTCCTGACCCCGCGCGGCTGCTGTCCGTGGGAATGCCGCCGGCCCGGGGGGTGAGGGAGGTGCGCGGCCAAGCCTTCTTGCCTTGATTTACCTTTGGTTTCGCTCGTCTATTATTGATTTTCGCGGGACCATTCTTCGCCGTTGGCCATCTGCACTGGGAACTTTTTTATTTTTGTTCAAATAGTCAAGTCTTTGCCAGCTTTGCTGCGATCGAATCGTGTCCTGCTTTACGCGACTGCGTCCATCCCTTATTGTCGTCTCGCTCTCGCGTCTTCGCATGCCGATGAGTTTTTTTCCTTTTTTTCTCTCACTCCTTGTCCGGTAATTTTTTCCTCTAGAATAATCCCCACTGACCCACTTCGTTAGGGGTAAGAGGAAGAAGGCACACCTCTCAGTTTCCGTCCACAAACAGTTTTTTTCACTCGTCCGTCGTTCTTTATCTCGGGTAACCGTGGAGGGTCCTTGCGGGTTGCTTCTAGTTTTTTCCCATATTTATGCGTTGTGGAGATCCCATAGCTCGCTATGTATGGCCAAACGGAAAGATACCATTCCTGTTTGACGAAAGTTTATGTGACACTCGGTGCAGACGCCAACCATACGCACGAGAGTGAATTAGAAAACAATTACGGTCCTATTGCAATCTCGCACGTACGAATGGCCATTTTCATGTTTGTTGCATTTCGCCCGAAAAAAGGCCATACGTACTCGTACGCGTGTGTGCGATGTTCAAATGAATGTTTTATGGAGTGTTTTACAGCATGACCGTTTGACCAATAAGTGCCATACGAGGTCGTAAGGAGATCGGGGTCCATCTCTCACGATATGTGGGCCGTGGAGGTTGGCTGTAAGTATTTATTACTATCACGCTCAGAGGCAGAGGACGCGGAATTGAGGCACGGCCTGCTCTTCGTGGGAACCGACCTGCGCACGTCCGCGACCGTATAGTTGGTAAACTAATGGTCCGCTTTTAAGCAACGGTGAGCCTGGCGATCTTGATCTTTTTACCACGGATTATTTTAAATTTATCTGTGTTCGAAAATGTAAAGGCGATCGAAATTATAAATTTTCGTACAATAATTCTATTTACCCCGGTTCAGTATTCATCCCAAAAATGTAGGAAATGACACATTAGTAACGCGAGGCTGAACACGTTTTCTCATATGAATGCTTGGGCGTCGTCGCTGGATCATCCGGGTTGATGATTCGTCTGGCCGACGGTCGGGCGGGGGCGCGCGGGGGGCTCAGCGGGGGACTTGAATGCACGAATGACGGTGGAGCGTGCTGCGCACGGCCGATCTGCATATGACAAGGTGGCATTGTTGTTGGAGTGGACACGGGTATCTGATGGGACGGCCGGCACCGACTGGCACGGAGCGAGCAGTACAGAGAGGGTGCTGTGGCAGGCGGGCGCAGGTGTGCTCGCGGGGGTGGCGTGGCAACGCGCGCCCGCTGCTGGTCGTGGTGGTGTGGTAGTGTGGTGGTGGTCGAGGTGGTGCCGTGCCCAATCATCTGGAGCGTGACGCTGTGGTCAGCGGGCGTGGCGGGGCGTGGCGCTGCGGTCGCCGAGGCGTTTGCTCTCTTGCGGTCGGTCACTCTACCACCACTGCGGTGTGGTCACTCTATGGTCATTGAGCTGTCGAACACGAAAAAAGCATTAAAAGCAGAAAAAAGAGAGAAAAGGTGAAACGCGCAGCCAGCAGCGTAAAGTTTTATTTTACGAGAGTGTACACTGTCAACGCAAAGTGTGTGAATATCGCACACTTACAGGTGTGTCGTGAATGCCCGCATTCGTACACTTTGGGGAGTAATCTTGTGAGATTTTTCAATTTTTCCCTTAAAGTAACACATGTGTGTACAAATTGCGTTCATACATCTCCTACAAGTGTGCAACGTTCACACACCTGGGTTGATCTCTGTGTACAGAACGCATATATCTTTGGCGCTTTATTTGGATGGGTGGGCGAACGGTAATTTCTTGATAATCTGTACTTGAGCAGCATGCGCGCGCGCGCCTCTCGTCCGAAGAGTAAACACGTCCGTAATGCCACGCCGGGTAATTGGCCGTATAAAGCGGATCAATTTCACGGCCGGCGGCGCGGCGTGCATGCGGCCCTGGCGCGGCCGGCCCGGCCCGCCGCCCCCGTTCGTTATACACGTTATTCGGCGGGTGAGGAGGGAAGGGCAGGGCATTCCGTGGAAGGTGCGCGACAGAGCTGCCGCTGCAGCAGCCGCTGGCGCCACCGCGGCCGCTGCAACAGTAGCGCGCCGCGGGCCAAACTCTTCACGATTCGCTATCGTGATCGATAAATTCGAACCAAATTGCGACATATCACGTTGCTGTGGCGTTGCGCCGTGAGCCCCGGCTCGGCGGGCGCGCGGGCGCCGGCGCGGCCCCCGCCGGGGCGCCACCGCTGCACATTAGGCGCACGACCTGCACCGGCTCCTGCAGCCCCCGCTGCTGCTGCTGCATCTCGCGAGGTTCGAGTCCCGCGTCGGCAGCTCCGAAGTTATTAATGCTGCAGTGTTTGGGTTGTCTCGTCAGTTTCTAGAACGAAGCTCCGCGTCTCTGCGCGGGCGGCGGTGGGCGCTCTGCTGCTGGGTCAGCGCGGTGGCACACGGCCTGACCTGGATGCTGGCCCGGCCGATGGTCTCAAAGGGCAACGGCGGGGAGGAGGAGCGATTGGACCTGGCGATGTTGTTAGCCAGCACTCGCTGCTGCTGCTGCTGCTTCTGCCCGGCCGTGGCTGCGCGGCCCTGCTGCACCGCGGGTGCCCCCGCTGGCTGGTCTCAGCATTGTTGCCTTGCTCCTCAAATTGCCCCGTCTTGCTCATGGTGGCGCGGCGGTTGCCCGCGTGGTGGTGGAGCAGAGGCCCCCCGCGCGCCCCCGCCCGCACCCGCAGCTGCGGCTCTCAGTCCTTTTTGCAGCTTGTCTTATAGAAGCTGGTTGCTTCCCCAGCGCCGATCGCGCTCACTTAGCGATGAGCTATTAGTTTATCTCTGGCGCCTGGTCTAAAAGGGCCAGCGCAGCAGTTTTATGACGATTCGGATCGCCCCGCCGCACGATGGTGCGCGCTGCGGCCGCGGGGCTGCGGCGGCCGGTCAACGGGACCCGAGCCCGCGGTCAGCGTCCTCTAGGCGTCGGCGTCCTCTAGGAGTCGGCCTCCTCTGGGCGTCGGCCTCATCTAGGCTTTGGCCTCCTCTAGGCGTCGACTTCCTCTAGGCGTCGGCACCCTCTTGGCGTCGGTGTCCTCTACTCGTCGGCGTCCTCAAGTCGTTGACGCCGGCCACGAGCCTCCTCGTCGGCTCTTCCTAACGTTCTCCCGCTAGCACATCCCCGTCGTCGGCGACCCCAACAGCCCCTAAAACCCTTTCTAATTACCGGATCTGGCGACCCTTCCCGCCCATGCCCAGCAGGTCCGGGAGTCGCGCGGCGCTAACTGCTACAAATCGCGCCGGGCTCCTCGCGGGCCGTCCGGGGCCCGGGCGATGGTATCTGGACCCCGCTAACGGCCGGGTATCTGGAGGCGGGATCGGGAGGCTGCTCTGCGCGCTCCTGTGCACTACTGCTGCTGCTGCTGGCCCGGCGCCTCCGCCTCAAAGTCATCAACCCCCTGACGGCGGCGGTGTCCATCGCGTCCGTACTTACGCCCCCGCCTCAGCAGGGCCGGAGCAGCGCGGGCAAGCAGGGCCAAAAAAAGCCAAGTGGCTCGGGGACAAGTTAATTGAAAACAAGGAGAGGGGTTTTTGACATGAGACGACTTCATCCATCGAAACCGATCGCGGGGGGAGCTCCTGGAGTCGGCCCCGCCGCCAGGTAGGTAGGTAGGCCCCTCATTGTATATTTATAGACGGCTGAGAGTGGAAAAATCAGTGACGGATTGAAACGGTCCGCCGCGGGTGATGGGGACGGTTGGTAAAAGAGGGGGGGGGGCATGCACTGGCTACTGCGAGTACCGAGTACGGTGAATACGCGGTGCACTCGAGCAGCGGTCCGAGCTGCTCAAGAATGTCTACATGCGCTCTGCTCGAGCGGGTGTGACTTTGGCCCTGTTGGAGGGTTGTTATTAGTGACACTTAAAGAAGGCGGCGCGCGGGGCTGCGGCGCTCACGTTGCTGGCGCACACTTGGGACATTTCGCAGAAAAATGGTCTACAACTCGCGAGCGAGCGGGAAGCGGAGCCGGGCGAAGTGTGTAGTACGACTTTCTGTCCGTGCGCGAGCGGCGGGCCGGCGGCGGGGCGCAGCTTGCATGTATAAAAGCGCGCGACTCGTGAAAATGGTCGTGAAACGTGCGGTTTATCCGTCATCCTGCCTGGTCAGGCCCGTCGGCCCGCGGCCCCGGAGGGGTTTATAAGCCCAGTTTCGAACGCGGACGATCCATCTCGCGGACCGACCTGGCTCCATACCACACGGGCGCGCGGCCCGCAGCGCGCAACATTTTAAGACCTGACCGGTGGGTAGTACCCACCACCGCCACCCTGCGTCCTGGATTGGCATAGCGGTGTGAAAAAGCAAGGCAGTGCAATAGTTTTCGCGCTCGCGCAGATAAAAGATAAATAAAAATGTTATATTGTTGTCGTCGTCCGCATTATGATCGTTACTCTTTACAAACTATTGTGGCCAATGAGAATCTTCGACTTTCTCATTGAATGGCGAGGCGGCGGCGGCGCGGCTGCCTCGCGCTGTCCATTAGCGGGGGGACGCTAGGGAGGGGCCGCGGACGCGCGGGTCACCTCCGGAAACGGTCCCGCGCCCCGCACGCGGCCCCGGCGGGGCCCCTTCGCACCCGGCCGTAAAACGTGTACGCGGAGCTGTAGGTCACCTCCCCGGCCCGGCGACTCGATTCGCACCTATAAAATTAATATGCTGCTGACGAAGAAATCACTTTGCCCGCCAAAAAACGCGGTCATGCCGACGCCGTGGAGCGGGAGCCGCGAGCGCGCCGCTCTTGTCGAGGACGCGCGGCGGGTACACGGCGGCGCCAGGCCGGGCCGGGCCACGCGCGGCGGGGCGGGGAGGTCAAGTTATTCAATAGGTGCGAGGAGCCGAGGCGACTGCGGCCGCGTCACGACCGGTGTGTGTAGCTCATGTTGGTTTGCTACACCGATGGGTATACAACACCACCGGCTCAGCTCATCGCCGGCCCGTTTTAGCTTGATTCAAATTTTGACCTTTTGTATTTTTATTTGATTTTTCCAGTGTAAAACTCTGCGCTGACCACCATGGCCATGGCCCGACGCTGTCCACACGTTTCTTCCATGCTGTCTCAGCAGAAAGCGTTTTTTGGATGCACTCCGCAAGAAACATCTTCTGAGGGAAAGTGCACCAGGTAAGGCAACACCAACAGTTGTCGCATTATTTGTTTTTCCAGTGTGCCCGCGCTGCCACCGCAGGTGCTCCGCTCGCCGTGCCGATCGCCCCCGATCACAAGGCCCCCGCCGTCGTCCTCCTGTATCGCCCGGCTTGCTCAGGCACGTCTTGGCCGGCCGGGTGACGCGGCGGTGACGGCCCGTCACGTACCGGTCACGCGGTGGGCGTGACCAGCAATTGATCACCCCCCTGCTAGAGCGCGCGGGGCGGGCCAGGGGGGCGGGCGAGGAACGCCGCGTTGATTCCACCCGAGCGGGTCAGGCCAGCCCGCCTCGCGCCGCGGTGCACCGGGCGGCCTACCCTCGGGCGCTCCGCCGCCGCTGCTGCTACGGAGGAGGACCGACCGACGCGACGGGGACCGCGCAGCCGCGCAGCCGGGAGCATCTCCACCGCTCCCAGGGGCGGCTATGGACCTGTCCCCTTCCCGGTAAGGCGGGCCATTACGGCCCCGTCGTGCTGAAAGGGTCCCGACGACGGTCCAACGCGGTGCAGCTGACCGACCGAAGAAACCCTTGGCCATCGGGCCTGTGGATCCCAAGGGTCCTCCTCCCCTCCTCGTCCTTCGGCCGTTTTCCTTCTTATTTATTTGGCTAGTTTATAGTGGTGGGCATGGGCGATGGCCCCAGGCGATATGGTCAGGCCTGGCTGCTGCTGCTGCCCCATAGCATGCCAAACGCCCCGCTCCTCGTAGTAAAGGAGACTACCTGTTGTGTGAGCTGTCACTCGGTCTGTGCAGCATCATGTATTATCTTTTCTTAATTTTTTTCGCCCTCCCAAACCTGGAAAAGCCGTATAGTTGTAGTAGTGGTAGTAGTGCTGGTCTGCAAGCCAGTGCATCTCTTTCAAGCGTCGTCGCTCCATGCTTGTGCGGTCTCCGCGTCGTTAGAAAGAGCCGTCTGAAAGTTAAACGGTTTGGAACACGACAGCCAGCCTCGGCGGCCCGGCTCGGCCCCCGCCCCCGCACTAAAAGGGGAGAGCAAGGGGGACGCCGCCGGCCGCCACCGCCGCCGCCCTGGATGGGTTGGTTTCGCTTCTCGCCCAAACTCGGCCAGCAGCTCGGCCCGAGGAGGAGCAATCTGCTGTGTCGCATCAGGTGCAGCAGCAGCAGCAGGTCGCAGGTGCAGTGACGCCATCTGGGGCCGGCGGGCGGGCGGGGGCCGGGCAGGTCGGCCAGCAGCCCGGGCTACCTGCTGACCATCATTATGTTCCCGACGCCATGTGGCGGAGGCCTGCACGGCCACCCCTCGCCTTCCCTGTTGGCCCGGCGTGGCGTAGCGTGGCGTGGCGGGCCTTTGGCTTGCCCATTTCCTAGCATCCCGTCATAATACTGCAGCCAGGGCAGGAGGGGCCGGGGGAGGTGGGGGAGGGGAATGTGCGAGCAGGAGGGATCAGGTGGACGAAAATGCACCCCCAGCCGCCGACACTGCGGAAATAAATCCCAGACATTGCGTGCCCTCACTCGTGTGTGCGGCGTGCGGGTGACCCTATTTCAATTTTCTGGCAAAGATGTTGAAATAGTCTGAAGGTAAAAGTGTCCGGACCCTAGACCAAATACTGTAACGATGTTCGGTCCATCGGTCACGGTGCGGTGTGCCGCGGGTCCTCCTCTGCCCGTTCTGCCCCGCCCCGGCCAGTCACGCTTCAAGGTGCGTTCTCTCCGTTCAACTTCAGTTGGGCCAACTCCGTAATGGCCGCGATTATGCTCGGTTGCCGCCCGATGTGTTGATGGAGTGTGGCGGAGCAGTGCGCTTTTTGTTTCTATCGCGCCCGAAACTTTTGCGAGTAATTAGTGCTGCTGATGTGTCCATTGCGCCGTCTGATATTTTACTCCGAGGCGGCTGGCGCCCTAATGACCATCAGCATCGGTCAGTCAAAGCGCACTCTGAGTGATGAATTTCTTTTACACTCACTTTTTTTGTCTTCTTTTCTCTTTGGGTATGGGGAAGGGGAAACGAAGCGCGGGAGGAGATTTCTGCAGGATGTTGCATGTTGCAGCAGCAGGGGCACACATGGCCGCGGTGATGTGCGTGGGAGAGGACGGGGTCGGGGTGACCCGACACGGTTTCTATTCCCTTTTATCGGAGCGGGAATTCGTGTGGCCTTTTTTTTTCATAACAAAGTCTATTCCGATTGTCCGCGGATCTCGGATTAAGGCTGGTCGGGGACACGCACGACGACGGCCCTTTCTTGTGGACGTCCAGAGACCCGGGGGCCGCCGCCGCGCCATCCACCTGGAGCCCTCCTGGAGTCAGAGTCCCCCGCCGCCGTCACGGGGCTGGATGACTTATAAAGAAATTATTCAGAGAAAATCTGCGTCCAAGACGGACTGTACGTGGTGGCCTTCCCACGACGAGGCTGAGACACGATATTCGGCACTGACAACGTGAACTCGCCGCACCGCCGCGCAGGTGGCGAGCAGCACCTCCCTCATCGGGGAAATTACCCCCATCCCATGTGGGGTTCGTGTCTCGCAAAGTGATGACGAAAATAAGATTGAATGTGAGGCCGCTTGTTTCGGAGTGGGTCGGTAGCTGCTGCTGCCACACGTACACCTGTGTGTCTGTGTGTGTTGGGGGAGGGGGGAGGGGTGCCGCCGATGTCCGTGCGATTTTATCACGGCCAGGGGTCGGTCGGCCGGTCGGCCGGTCCCCTGGACGGGGGCGACGATAACTGGAATCGAGGCTGGAGAAGACCTATCACAAGGCTGGATGTACGGCCGAGGCCCCATCTGGCTCCTGGGCGAGCGCACGGAGCGGCCTGGCCACGAGCGGCCCCCGTTGTCATATCGTTAGTATTCCGATTGCTGCCCGGGCTATGGGGAAGGGAAGCGGCCGATCCATCCCGCCTGCTCTATCGCTTCTTCGGAAGCCGTAGAGAGCCATAACAATAATTGAAGGGGGGCCTCCATATGCCTTTGCCCGGGTCAGTCAGTCGTCAAAACAAGTCGACGGGTCGGTCGGTGCGTGCGTACGTACGTCGTAGGGGCCTCCACGTGGCTTGATTCGGGCGGCGGATAAGCTCGGCGCGGGCGCGCAGGAACAGCAGGAGCCCCCTGCCTGTCGCCACGGTTTTGCCTTCGTAATTAGCAGGCGAAATGATGATTTTTGCGCACCCGCCCGGACACGCTGCCCGCTGCCTCGGCCGATATGAGCAAGGCGATTATGTTATTTGCGCCCCGTGTCTGGCTGGCTGCCGCCGCGGTCGTTGTATCGGGGGTATATGGTGTCCGGGGCCCTGGGCGGCGACGGCGACGACGTCATCGCGGACGGTTATCTGTCGTCACCGCCGCCGTGTGCACCCTGTGCACCCCGCGCGCATGGCCGAGCCCGCATTCCTTACGCCCCGAGAGGCTGCAGTCGCGCGCATGAAGGTCCTGACCTGGACGGGGCGGAAAAGAGTTCTTGATAAGAAAGAAGTAATAATCCGGCGGGGGGATTCTCCTGGACCCGGCGGCCAAAGGGGGTTGAAGGTTGGGATGAAAAAAAAAATACACAGCTGGTTCGGCTTTCAGGAGAACGGCGACGGTGTGGGACAATTCTTTCTGTCCACGCAAGAGGTCCTCCGGGCAGGGCAGGACAGGGTGGGGTGGGGCCCCAGGCCAGCAGGGCCCTGGGTCTCCCGGCGGGGTCGCTCCGCTCCGGGTCCTCCGGGTCGAGAGAACAAGGGGGCTATTGTGACCCCGCGCTCTGTGTGGATGTGTGGATCAGCCCCC